GCCACCTTTAAAAATAGAATTTCAGAGAAGAGATGATTTTTCTAGGATAGCCGTTGTTACAAGCTTTTCAATGAGACATCTCTGGAAAGAAATCGGTCTGTGGAAGTAATCATAAAAATTATAATTAATTTCAATTTTGAATTGGGGGCGTCCAACTCCTAATTCAAATAAGAAGGCTGTTGACAGGAAGTGTTCACGTGCTTTCTTGCGATTGTAGTTAATGAATAATAATTTCAACACTGCACAATGCACATATAGTTCTAAAGTGGTTTGGTGCGTGCATCTATACATGTAGGCCTACATTTTGTAGTAAATCTGACCTGCCAAGGTGATCCAGGGTGCATTCTATACGTTTCATTTTACCTCAGCCTCGCCTCGGAAAACTGTACCTAGTTTACTAATAACATACGAATTACTAAATGTTTTGCATGCCGTACTGTACGCGCCTATGTATGTCTTCAACTCATTAGTGCGCCCTCTATCCGGGTCATCATGCGGCTGATGGATTCGAACACCTGGTTGACGAACCCTCAAACGCCAGGTATTTAGGTGTGTCTTCACACGCAAAATGGAGTATGTTGCTCCTCTTCCCTCCGAACGGGGCTACATGCCCTCTGACCGTCTCCCCGGATTTGCGCCTGATTCATCCAGCCGTCGAGCTCCCCCCCCCGTTCCCATGGTATCGAGAAATACGCCCTCACATCTGTAATTTCTCCAATACACCCTGTTGTACACCAAAATTTAGCATACTCATATACCTAGTGATAGTCTGGTGTCTGGCTGTGCTTCAAATTTGCGTCTGTTTTATTACAGTATCTGGGATGCAGCGTGACAAACACAATTTTGTTTACCCCGTTTCAATGTTAAAATCATACCAGGCAACTTAATTAAGGTATCACATACCGTATTAAGGAAAATAGAAAGGGAGTTGTTAACAAGGTGGAAAGGACATAAAAATTCACGTATTCACGCAAAACGTCCTCATACGTAACGTATGTTAGCATTAAATGAATTACCAAGAACACGATGATAGAAAGTTATCATATGTTAGTGCTGCATCGAATCAGAATAGGGGAAGAAACGTAGTAGGCAAATTTGTTACCATTTTAAACGGACTGAGATGAAATGGTGTAATTAAGCCCTCGAGCCAAGGTTGGGGGACTCGTGCATCGGGACTTCTTAATGAAGTCACGTGATTTTGTAATTCTGAAGGGTATCTGAAGGTGAGATTTAATAGATTTTAATGCTGGAGATATGAACTCTGGGTCTCAAGGACCTTGTGGCCGTAAAACCTGACTTAAGCTATCACTAACCTTTTTGTTCACAAAAGGGCGCTATTTCACACTTTAGTTTCCACTTACATATATATCTGGAGGAAGTATTGCAAATCTATGCAAAAAAGAGTGGGTTTTACTCGTGAGTTGGTGGGTTCTTTGGCTAATGAAGCGACAGAACCACGATAACAAGCACGTAATGTGCCTGATTTCCGAGGTTAAAGAGGAACTTGAAGCGAGAACGAAGTGTCGTCACAAACCTTCTCTCCTCGGTGTCCGATCATGCATGAGTTACTTTGACCTGTTTACTGACTAATTTGAAGACTTACATGAGACTTTCTGGGTAGCTGCTACGTTACAGAAATGAAAATCGGGAAAAAATTGAAAATTTAATTGGATTTAGAAGAAAACAGTCTCACGTTGTCTCTGTATAGTGCAGAGAGCAGTAAGACAACTGTTTTTGTGCAATTACCACGTAATACGCACATTCACAATGTGACAGTAAAAACAGTCCTCTCCTTTTCTGATTCCTATTTAAAGGAAAGTAACATGTCTTCCTTCCACCTGATAAGCTACTGATTTCAGGGAATGGAGCATTTAGGACTCAATCATCTGAGACAGCAGATTTTCCTTCCCGTTTATGTATTTTTTTACGAGGTCCTCGGCGCAGTCAGTGTAGGCCGGAAAAGCCGCTACCCACGCTGGCCTCAAAGGCCAAGCTACACAATATTCTATAAATAACAAATACCCCCTCATGTGAAGTAATTGATTAATCATATGACCGACTTTTTAAAAACGACTTTTCTAAATTGCTTCTCCAACAACTCCTCGGAATGAGGTCGGGCTTATGTTCTTTGGCCAGGCTGAATATCAAAAATTTATCCGTCATTTTACGCCGTACAGGTTTTTGTAAAATTGGCAGTGACACATTTTACACGCGAGCAGCTCACCTTAATTACACCTGTAATCTGGCCCCGGCAAAGTGCACTTTGTTGCTTGAACTGGACCCAAATTAATCTGGGAGTATCGTCTGGAATTCCACTGGCCTTTAGAAAGTTGGCACAATAAGGTGTTGAAGCAGCGCAGTCACATTTTCTCGGCTGACAAAGGATAGGGCTATAGGTTGATGGCGTTGCATGACGGACACAAGATTGCTTGATCAGGGCGTTCATTGCCGTATTGATGAGACGGCGCCCTCTCGAATCGAATTGCCGGCAAAAAGGAAAAATGTCTGAAGCAAAAATGATAATCTCCTCCCTTTGCCTTTTCAGTATCGATGAACTGCAGTGTGTCAATTATTGTAATGTTAATGATCTTCATGCTTTTCAAGGCTTTACACCGCACCAGTGATCTCAAAGCGTCTTGTAATTTCAATCATCACCCCGTTTATAGGACGAATTAATAGTCAGTATCGGCGAAGGTGTGTCTCTATATTTACAAATAGGTCATTTGGGAGACATTTTGTGGTAAATTTTTCAGCATTAGGGAGACATTGGCATTTAGGGAGACATTTCAGTGTCTCCCGATTTTCAAACTACCAGAAGGAGGCCGAATTTTAGTGTCCAAATTTTGAGAGATGATAGATTAGGGTCTAAATTGAAAACATACAAAGTTTGGTTCAGATCAGACTAGGGAATATTGAATTATGGGACAGCAAAGTTCTTATGGGAATGTGTCCCTAACGACCCATTAGCGGTAACATATACTCCACTGCTACCTACTTCAACATTTGGGACGAGAGAGGCAGTAACCTGTCAAGCCTGTCCCAATGTCTCGTTGCATACCAGCAGCTAGACTGAAATCCTGTGACCCTTTGATCGCAACCCTAATTACCTCACGCCACCCACTGACGGATTGACGGATTAAGGACAAGATGTCATTCAATGAAAATTTGTGCGTATGTCCATGCATGAAAGTAGCTATCCTTGTTGAATTCTCTACGCCCCTTTATGCTAAACATGTCCCTTTTGTTCCTCGCATTCCTTGGTTGGTTTGGCTCCTTGTGCAAGATATGAAATTGCCCATAAAATTGCTCACGAGATGAAAACCATGAACTGAAGTGACAGTGAATAGTCAACGAAAAAACAGGACTTTTGTTGCTTAGTTAGGTAGGGGCTTGTGTGTTTATATCTGCCTAAGGTTACATTCCATTTTTTTTGCCAATGAGGATCATTACGGGTTTACTGAGCTAGGTTGTTATCATTCCCTGCCTTACTATAATAGACTTGCCAATTCTTAATCAAGAGGCGTGATTTTTTTTTTTTTTGCCAGGGACTGGAGGGATGCTTGATGGGTTGCGTCGTAAATGGAAATTATTGTCAGGCGATGGATATTTGAAAAGCGGAGGGAGGGGTGCTGACACCACATGGCATTAGAGGGCGTTGTTCCTGATTCAAATCTTTAATGAAAAAAAACCCCGTATTTTTTCTATTCCATCTCCAGCGATAACGTGTACATGTTGGTTGTTGGGAAGTCCGAAAAATTTCTCAAACTCCGCCTTATTTTTTCCTCATCACCACGAAACAGTGGGGGTATGATTCAATAGACCACCCCTGGTCAAACGTATGGGGGTGTACACCCTATTTCCCGCGATTTACGCCTCTGCGGGAAACGTGTCAGTTATCAGCAAAGATCGTACAGCGCCGCGAAGCGGCGCAAGATGGCGAACTTCACAGTGAATACACGTAAAACGTTGTAATCACCTGGGCGCCATTTGAGCAAGCGATACGCATGCGCAATGCACATTAATGCAAAGGCGCAGGCGCCTCGGCAGGCACGTCACCTGGTGAGCCTGCGCCTAAGCATTACCGTAAACTGCGCAGGCGTATCGCTTGCTCAAATGGCGCCCATGGTAATTATACCTTTTGGACAGAGTTATCCATCTTGCGCCTTCGGCGCTATACGATCATTGGTTATCAGCGACTTAATGGATAAAAGAGTGTGAGGCCAAACAGCCCAATAAACACTCGAAAACCTTTGGGTCAGACTGACCCGGATCTGGGTCCTCTGGTATTTGACTCTTTCCCGGTCTACAGAATGGCTCTCTTCTGGGTCACCGAAAAGTCAAAGAATGACCCTCTTCTGTGTCAGTAAAGGATCAAAATGAGTCAGAAGAGAGTCATCGTTTGACCCGACAACGTGTCAGGTCCCACGGAACCCGGATATGGATCAATAATATGTGAGTTTTTAGAATGTAGTAACATTTCACCTTACGATCAAATTTATCCTGTTGTTTGCATGCTTGCTCAGTTGAATCATGGAGCTAATTAAAATAGGTCAGAAATGTCAGAAAAGGAGTTCAAAGTTTGAGCCTGTCTGTATTGTAAGCATGATTTTGCGACCAATCAACCACGGAGGGTCATTCTTTGACTCTTTACCCTAACACTCCTAAGTCCTCCAACAGGTGAAGGATTGAGGAGTGTTAAGGTTAATAGCTCCATGGTTGAGTGGTCGCAAAATCATGCTTACAATACAGACAGGCTCAAACTTTGAACTCCCTTTCTGACCTACGTCTTACCCCAATACTGCTACTGTGGAAAGATTTCATTACAGAAAGTGTCTTGGGTATGTCACTGATTTCGCCAGAGGCGTGACCCAATCGAAACCGGCAGTTGCGTGACTGCAACGCTCTCTAAACGCAAAAGCGCTGCGTTATGCACAGCGCACGCTTGAAGACACCCAGGGTGAAGACAGCGGAAGGATATGCAGGGTATCGGTTTCAGACGTCCAGTTGATTCGCAGAGGCTGGCAGCTCGCATTTGCTGTAAGGACGTACAGTAGTAAGCGAAGTGGGCACGTGGGACTCAGACCTAGCGGCATAAAGGCTGACCGTCTGCGAAAGGCCACAGTGCATGTCGAATGCTCCACGGTTTTACAAAAATGTGTCAATTCTCGTTAGGCTCACTCGGGAACCAATTACACTGCACGCTGATCAATCAGGGCCTCTGCAGTGCAAAACAGGTTTGAGCGTGACTTCTGCAAGACTTTTCACCAAGTTTCAAGCTCGGGCCGATCCGACACTGATCTCCCCGTGTTGACTGGAATCGTTACGCAAGGGAAGTCGAAAACAAATTAGTAAAATTGTGCTTAACTTTCACGTCACCTTGCGTGTCCCGTGGGAAATCGAAAGGACGGTGGCCGAATCGAAGCTGGGGAACTACAGGGTATTTTATCCCTTAGCGTTCTGGATGGTATTTCCTCTGATGCTCTGCTCATGGTTATTTCCGAAAGAATTTGATCCATGCGGGAAGCGCCAAGGTGAAAGGTATAACCACTGACAGCCAGGGAAGTTGTCTTCGATCTTCGGACGTCGATTGCGTCAGTTCCTGCAAGAAACAGGTTAGTGTCAGCCATGCCACGTATCCCACGTCAAAATGTAGGCATAAATGTTTTTAAGACAACGGAAGTACATGTACAACTGTTTTGGAAACGATTGGGCTCACGATTTAAGTAGATGCCAATCGGGAAATGGCCAAGTGACGCGTGACGTCTGCGAAAGAAATTTGGAAGAATTGGTTGGTCCGTGATGACAAACCACACATTATATAGTCTTTATTTTGATTTGTAATACAATAGCCACCTAATTGCAGTTAAGCCACAATTCAACAAAAGTGACAACTTAACAGTAATATTGCTAGTCAGTGTGTTCATCTGAAACTCTGATAAGTTTGTCACAGTTTGTCACACATGTATCTTACAAGTGTTAAGATTTTCACATTCTTCGCACGGTAATAGTAGTGATGAAGCTATTTATACATCAATTTGTTTGTTGGAAATAAAAAAATTATTTCTCACTAGTATACGCAGGCCTATGCCTGCGAATTCCTTTGCTCGCATTTTACAAATCTTGAGTAATTCTTGAATTTGGATCAAAATTTGCTCGGGATGGATTTTAACGCCTATATACCTTCGGTGCCAATTTAAATGGATTTGGTTTCAATATTTACCCGATTCAGCAAGATACGAAGCATGCCTTTAAGCTGGAATGCAATATTTTTTTGCTAACTGAATATTGATCTCGAGATGTAATAATTATTAATAATTAGACTTCTGTTTTGTAGCTGTTTTTATTGGTGAAGCAATGGAAGATGGAAATAGGAAGTGACCTCCCTCCATAGTAAGCCCCTGGTTCCGAGGGTATTTTCAAGTTCATGCAAAAGTTATGATCCTTGTTGTTTGACTGTGTACCCACTTTATTATGGAATTCCATATCTGCCGTCGCCCGTCGTGCGTCGCCTGTGTGTTTTTTTTTTTTTTTTTTTTGGTTTTTTTTTTTGTCACGATTGCGCAGTGGTATTTTTAACTGACCCTTGATGTTTCACATGTACATGTACATCAAAAGGGTTGCACAGTATCTGCAAAAGCCGGGGTTTAACAAATGACAATGTGATGATTCCATTCACTTCTAAAGGTCTTTTCCGATTAAGGCAAGTACAAATCCCACCTGCAAAGCATACACTAGTCACATAATCAATTCTACCACTGTCTCTTGACAGGAAAATATCGCCTCTCTGAGAATTCAACCAAGTGTTTTTTGGGGAAAAACATTTTCAGCAAAAATGTTCTGGCCAACTTATCCACAGTGTTATTCTAATTTGCATACTGTAAAAATGTGCCGACTTGTTTTCATCAAATTCCAGGAAGAAATCTGCCAACCGATACAGATATTCCATCTTATCCCCTCAATTTCACCTTGAAATCCAGAAATAC